GGGTGCTCGTGCCTTTGTCCGCGATACCACCGCGGACAAGCTCTCCGCCCGCGCTGTTCCCTGTGTCTTCCTTGGCTTTGTCCCTGACGCGCCTGGTTGGCAGTTTTACCACCCCACCTCACGCCGTGTCTTCCCCTCTCAGGACGTCACGTTCGACGAGTCGGTTCCCTTTTACCGTCTCTTCCCCTACCGCACCGCCCCTCTCCCCCCCCCCCCCCCGCCGCTCTTCCTCGCTCCATGTGCTCCCCAGGTAGACCCCCTCCCCACTCCCGGTCCTGCTCCTTCAGGTGTCTCCCAGGTCGACCATCCTCCCTCGACTGCGCCGGTTGAGGTCACTGGTGACTCAGGTCCTGCTGAGAGTGGTCCTACTCGGGGTGCTGCTTCTGGGGGTGCTGAGCCTGCGGGTGCGGAGCCTAGGGGTGCTGAGCCTGGAGGTGCGGAGCGTGGGGGTGTGGAGACTGGAGGTGCTGAGCCTGGGCGTGAGGAGTCTGGGGGTGCTGAGCCTGGGGGTACTGAGTCTGGGGGTGCTGCACCTGTCGGTGCTGAGGCGTCTGGTGAGTAGTCTCCTTAGAGCGATCGTCTGCGTAGTCGCCCCACTGGTGCCTCGCCGCTGCACTCTCGTCGTCGACTCCCTCTCTCCGCACAGCAGCTGTTTGAGTGGTACGTTGGTCGTCAGGGTCGCGCTGCTGGAGCTAGGGGCCCTGCTGCGGGAGGCGCTGGAGCTTGTGACTCTGCTACTAAGGGTGCTGGAGTTGGAGCTGCTGGAGGTTCTGGAGCTGCTGAGGGTGCTGGCGCTGGAGGTTCTGGATCTGCTGAGGGTGCTGGCGCAGGAGATTCTGGAGCTGCTGGAGGTGCTGGCGCTGGTGGCGCTGAAGCTGGAGGTTCTGGAGCTGCTGAGGATGCTGGCGCTGAGGGTTCTGAGTCTGCTGTTGCGCGGTCTCCTTGGAGTAGCCGCCTTCGTCCGCGTGTGCCTCTCACCTCACAGCAGCTGCACGACTGGTACGGTCGCCGTCAGGGTCGCACTTCTTGAGCTCGGGGCTCTGCCGCTGGAGGTACTTCTGCTGACGTCACTGGAGCTGGGAGTGGTGATGGTCCCGGAGGTGCTCGTACCGGAAGTACTGGAGCTGCTGGGGCTGGAGGTGCTGAGCCTGAGGGTGCTACTGCTGGAGACCCTGGGACTAGAGGTGCCGGTTTTGGGGGTGCTGCTGCTGGTGGAGCTGGTCCTGGAGGAGCTGGAGCTGAGGGTTCTGGAGCTGCTGGAGGTGCTAAAGCTGCTGAGGGTGCTGGAGCTGTTGGTGCTGGTGGCGCTGCACAGCCGCGCGTGTTGTTTGCTCCACCATCTCTGTCGTCTCAGCCACCGTCTGACTCTGTGCTTCACCAAGTTCTTAGTCTCCCTTCGTCTACTAGTCTTCCGTTACAGCCTGGCTCACCGCTGCCTGCTCCTTCTCCTTACACTGAGAGGACAGGGGGCCTTACTTAGCGTCGTGAGCTTGCGTCGCGTCCTGTCTCGCCTGTCCGTCCTAGTCGTTCCGGTCGTCGTGTTCCTCGGCCGCGTCAGCCGGCTGTCCCCGGCACCCACCTCGTAGTCCGTCGTCCTACCTCTCCTCCGCAGTGTGTTCCCCTGCCGTCCCCTCCTGCGTCCTCTCTGCCTACCGCTCTTGAGCCTGAGTCTGACTGCACCCGTGCTGCTCACCCTACTGTCACGCGTCTCCTAGCCACAGTTGTCACTGACCCGTCGCTTGAGTCTGCTACTGCGTGTGCCTTAGTCGCTGAGCTCGTTGACTTTGCTGCTGCCTGACGTCTACACTACGCCGCTAGTCTTGTTGCTGAGTCTGAGTCTGTCTGTCCTCCGTCCGTCGGGGGTGAGTGTGCTCTTGGCACGGACGTCCTTGAGGACAGGCAGTAGGACCTTGAGTGTCTAGCAACCGCTGCACCTCATCTCGTGTCCATGCTACTTGCCCCTGAGGGAGACCCGGATGCTCTAGACATCCCGACCCCGCGCTCTTACGCTGAGGCGATCGCGGGTGAGTACTCCTCTCAGTGGCAGACAGCCATGGACGCAAAGATGGCATCCTGGAAGTCCACAGGCACCTACGTCAACGAGGTTCCCCCTCCTGGGGCGAACATCGTCAGTGGCATGTGGATTTTCAGGGTGAAGTGGCCGCCAGGTTCTCCGCCTGTTACTTCAAGGCTCGTTACGTTGCTCGAGGCTTCAGTCAGCGGGAGGGAGTAGACTTCTTCCAGACCTTCTTCCCCACCCCGAAGATGACCACTCTTCGGGTACTGCTGCACGTTGCCGCTCAGCGTGACTACGAGCTTCACTCTCTTGACTTCAGCACAGCTTTCTTACAGGGCAGCCTGCACGAGGAGATCTGGCTGCGCCGCCCTCCTCGCTTCACTGGGTCGTTCCCTCCTGGTACCCAGTGGAGCCTCCAGCGGCCAGTCTACGGTCTCCGCCAGGCGCCACGTGAGTGGCACGACACACTGAGGACGACACTTGCTGCTCTTGGGTTTGCTCCGTCGACTGCCGACCCGTCGCTGTTTCTGCGCACCGACACTTCGCTGCCGTCGTTTTACATCCTCGTGTACGTCGACGACCTGGTCTTTGCCACTACTGACACTGAGGCTCTCGCCCACGTGAAGTCGGAGCTGCAGAAGAGACACACGTGCACAGACCTGGGTGAGCTGCCCAGTTACCTTGGCTTGCAGATCACCCGGGACAGAGCACGCCGCACCATCACCCTGACTCAGTCACACATGGTGCAGCAGGTCCTTCAGCGCTTCGGCTTCACCTGGTCCTCGCCACAGCACACTCCTCTTGCTACAGGTCAGTCGCTCTCAGCTCCACCTTCGGACGAGTCAGTAGAGCCGAGTGGTCCTTACCCAGAGCTAGTGGGCTGCCTCATGTACGTGATGACCTGCACTCGTCCTGACCTTGCATACCCTCTTGGCCTTCTGGCTCGCTACGTGGCTCCTGGTCGGCACCGAAAGGTGCACATGGATGCTGCTGAGATGGTACTACGCTACTTGTGCAGTACATCGGGCATGGGGCTCGTGCTTGGAGGGCGGAGCCCAGTTGTCCTTACTGGGCACTCAGACGTCGCTTGGGTTGACGACCAAGCTACACACTGTGATCTGCTGCTGTTGTTACATATATATCTCTGCATGTGAACTGGCCTTGTGGCCTGTTGTTTGTGCTCAGACTGCGTGGTGACGTTGTGATCCATCCTGAGCTTGCTATGCACTTCCCGACTGGTCTTGTGACCCTCTGTTCTCCCCCACTTTGCCTATGGGGGTGTGTCAAACATTTAGTTATAAGTTATAGTTTGGGTAGGCTTTAGTGGGGTATTCATTGCGGGGTACAACCCCTTAGGTTATACTTTTGTACCAAACTCTCGATAGTCCATTCAATCCTTTCCCTTTACTCTCGACACCACGCCATCCTAAACTCAGGTTTGCTCACATGTGTGACGCCGTAAGTGTAGTAGGTGTTGCTATACGTCACCAGCTCAAAGTAAAACACTGGCTTGCTTTTACTAAGAGGAATCGTCCCAACCGTGCGGATCACTGCGTCTTGAGTAAGGCACCAGATGTACTGTAGTGATGTGTTGCTGCCAGGAGAAAGTCACCATGCAAGAGTGTTGGAGAGTTGGTGGGACGCAGTCACAGGAAAACTGGACGGGCGTGGAGTTGACCAATGGCCAGCGGTGCGCGTCATTCTGTCTTGGTATGCGGTACGTCGCCAGATCCAGTGGTATCAGTACCACAGGTCCAGCTGCAACTTGAGTAGATCGTTGTTCCATTGCTGCGCAGCGCATCACTCTGTCTTGGTGTACGGTACCAGGTCCAGTGTTGCATTGCCCGGGCGGGAGAACACCACCTGCACTCGGCGTATTAATGGGTTCGGATGGTTGGTGGAGTGTTGGAATGGAATGAAGCAGTGCGCAAGACGAACAGAACGAACAGAAAAGAAGGCCAAATTAGGCCCTTCTCAAATACATAGGCCAGCTCGACGTGCTGGCATATCACCTGAACCTTAACCTGAAAATAATTCTGATACGTCAGCTGAATCCTCTCCAAATACTTGGGAAGAAAACTAGATGAACTGACTCTGGTTTGGCTTCTGATGCACTTCACATTCCTGTAATCAGTCAAACCTCTCTAAAATTACCAGAATGAACCTGAGCATGCCTGAAAACACCCTAACCCCTCTGAATCACCTGAATATCCCCAAGCGTGCGCGTTTGGAAGCCCACAGCACAGTAGACGAAGTAGTACTGCCATGTGCGGATGAACTTGGGACCGAACCCCATCTCCATGATCTCACTGCGAGGAGGAGAGAGTGGAGAAAGGGAGAGGATTGGAGAGTGACAGGGGGAAATGACAGATCACTACTTGTGCATGCATCATGAAGTTGACATGCCATCCTAGTGCCATTCCATGCCATGCCAATACCATGTCAATACCATGTCAATACCATGCCACAGCCATCCCATTAGTCTAAACCGCCACCTAGGCACTGAATGTATGACCGTGTCAAAACATATAGCCTGTGCGCCATGTCGATGCCACCTCGATGCCATGCTATGTTCGTTTCCACGTCACTGCCATCTCAATGCCTTCTCAACGCCATCTCAACGCCATCCCAACGACATCCCAACGCCATCAAACCCTCAAGCCCTCAGCACTCACTGCCGGTGAGCCATGAAGTTGCTGTGCATGTGAGGAAGGAAGGTTGGTGCAGTGAGATCACGGAGATGGGTTTCGGTCACTGCGAAGAGCCATGAGCATTGTGGCATCCCCGTGCCCTGCTCTATGCTATTCCCATCCCATGCCATCCCATTCCATCCCATGCCATCCCATGCCCTCCCATGCCATCCCATGCCATGCCATGCCATCCCATGCCATCCCACGCCATCCCATGCCATCCCCTGCCATCCCATACCATTCCATGCCATCCCATGCCATCCCACTAAATGCAAGACTGTAGCGCGACTCACTGCCGGTGAGCCATGAAGTTGTCGTGCCATCTCATGAGCGTTGTGGCGTAGTGCGGCCCAATGTTCTCCAGCTCCTCCACACTGGTGTTTATGAGAGAGGGGGGAGGGGGGAGTGGGGAGTGGGGGGAGGGTAAAAGGCATGGGTAACACCAATGCATGAGCGCCGTGGCGTAGTGCGGCCCAATGTTCTCCAGCTCCTCCACACTGTTGTTGATGAGAGAGGGGGGAGGGGGGAGAGAGGGGGGCGTAAAGAGCATGGGTATCACCATCTCATGAGCGCCGTGGCGTAGTGCGGCCCAATGTTCTCCAGCTCCTCCACACTGTTAGTCGGTAGAGGGGGAAGGGGAAGGTGGGGGTCATGCTAAGTGGCATGCACAGCAGTGGCATAGTCATAGCGCAGTGGACTGATGCTGTGAAAGCTCCTTCACACTGTTGTTAACGAGGATATGACAAGAGGGGAGGTGGGGAAGAAGGAGGGGGGAGATGGGTTACAATGGGCATGGGTAGAGCGGCGGTGTCATGTCATGGGGTAGAGCAGCGATGTCATGTCATGGCGTAGAGCAGCGGTGTCATGTCATGGCGTAGAGCAGCGGTGTCATGTCATGGCGTAGAGCAGCGGTGTCATGTCATGGCGTAGAGCAGCGATGTCATGTCATGGCGCAGAGCAGCGATGTCATGTCATGGCATAGAGCAGCGATGTCATGTCATGGCGCAGAGCAGCGATGTCATGTCATGGCGCAGAGCAGCGATGTCATGTCATGGCGCAGAGCAGCGATGTCATGTCATGGCGTAGAGCAGCCCGATATTCTCCAGCTGCTTTACACTGGGCATGAGAAGAGAATGACTAAAAAAAGGGCATGGTGTGGCAAGCAATAATGGGAGGAAGGAAGCTTGGTGCAGTGGTGTTTTCACGTGAAGGTAGGTTTTTCACTGTGTTGAACCAGAATTATGACCTTGTTGTTTCCACCTGAAGGCGGCGTTCTGGCCCTGTTGTTCTCACCTGAAGGCAGATAATTCAGCTCTGTTGTTTTCACCTGAAGGCGGAGTTCTTGGCCATGGCGTCGGTGAGAGCAGAGAGGGAGGGCACGCAGCAGCCGGGGAAGATGTACTCCTTGATGAAATCGGAGGATAGGCGGTACTCCTCGTAGCGGCTCTCTGGTGTGGTGATCACCTGATGGCGGATGGGATGGGATGACGGAAGAAATGGGTTAGGGCGTGTGTGATTTTTTTTCGAACTTCCCAAAGTTCGAACTTTTATAACGGTTCAACACGGTACGATACAGTTGCGAAATGTTTGACCACGGTGCAAAGCGGTTTGAGTTCAAACTTTGACATAAACCCCAAAATCACACACGCCCTTACATTCGGATGGGTGCCGAGGGGCGGAACGAGAAAGAAGAACAAAGGACCGGCAAGCCATACAAATTAAAAAAATGGATGCAATTGAACAACCACCTTGGTTCGAAAGACATCTGAACAACCACCTGAGCTGTGAAGGCACCCGTACAACCACCTGAGGCTGAAGCGCATCTGAGCAGCCACCTGAGACTGAAACGTATCTGAACAACCACCTGAGTCTGAAACGCACCTGAACAACTACCTGAGACTGAAACGCACCTACCACCTGAGACCGAAACGCACCCGAACAACCACCTGAGACTGAAACGCACCCGAACAACCACCTGAGACTGAAACGCACCTGAACAACCACCTGAGACCGAAACGCACCCGGACAACCACCTGAGACTGAAACGCACCTGAACAACCACCTGAGACCGAAACGCACCCGAACAACCACCTGAGACTGAAACGCACCTGAACAACCACCTAAGACTGAAATGCACCTGAACAACAAGCAGCCGTCCATTGTGAGCAGCCGGTCGCAGTGGTGGAAGAGACTTTTGAGTCGACTCACAAGGCACCTTGTTACAATGGCACATGAAACACAACTGAACAACCACCTCACCTTGTTACAATGGCACATGAAACACACCTGAACAACCACATGAAACACACCTGAACAACGAGCAGCCCGTCCATTGCGAGCAAGCGGTCGCAGTGATGGAAGAAGTCTCCCAGGTACTCGTGGCCCACCGCCTCTAGCATCTCACTGCGGTGGGGAATGGGGACGTCAAGCACTTCAGATGGGGATCGCTTATGGGGGATCGCTTATGGGGGATCGCTTATGGGAGTCGCAGTGATGGAAGAAGTCTCCCTGGTACTCGTGACCCACCGCCTCTGGCATCTCACTGGCAGGGGGGAGAGAATGGGGGGAAGTTTGACAAGTTTAAAGATCTAGAAGTTCGGAAGGCATTGCAGACACGGGAAGCTTTGAAGACATGACCGGGGTTCTCCGTGGCCCACTGTTGAGGCGCCTCAAGAAAAGCTTTGAAGAAATGACCGGGGTACTCTGTTCTGTAGCCCACTGCCTGGAGCATCTCACTGCGGTTCTCTTAGGGGAGTGGGGGGAGCAGAACGCATGAGAAAGGGGAAGTTTGGAAGAGGAGACAGGAGTCAGGATGCGGTCGAACTTGCCGGGTTTTCAGACGTCTCAAGAACACTGGTTGAACGTGGTTCGGAGAGGGAAGGTGAATTAGTTGCACTACTGACCGCGGCATGGTGTCTTTGAGATTTTGTAGGAACCACCCTTTGGCTTGGAAAGGGAAGGGTACTAGGTTGCTTGCACTTACGCTGACACTGACACTGACACTGACACTGACACTGACGCTGACACTGACACTGACACTGACCATGAGAGGATGCGATCAAATTTGCCGGTGCCTGGCAGGTTGCGGTAGTCACAGAGCATGAAGTTGATTCGATCCTGGTGGGGATGGGTAGTGCGGACGGGAGAGGTGGGGTGGGGATGAGTTAGTTAGCGATGCGGGGAGAAGGAAGGCAAACGATAAGATAACTTCAAGACGTTATAAACTGGCAGGTTGCTTGCGATAGTCACAGAGCATGAAGTTGATTCGATCCTGGTGGTGTGGGTGGATGTTGCGGAAGGAAGGGGAAAGAAGGGGATGGGTATGTGACGTGGGGAGAAGGGGAGGTGAGCAAGTTGTGGAACAACTCAAACTGGCAGACTGCTTGCAGTAATCACAGACCAAGGAGTTGGTTTTCTCCTAGTGGTGGGGATGGGTGGGTGATGTGGAGAGGAGGGGAGTGTGGGCGCAAGCTTAGATATGCCTAGGGATGAGCAAGGTGGCGAACACCTGTTCGGTTCGCCACGAGCGTGTTCGAGGCGAACCGAACAGGTTTTGTTTTTCAGCTTAAATCGTTCGCCCGAACGTGTTCGATGTTCGCCCGAACACGTTCGTGTTCGTGGCGCTGCTGCAGAACGCCCCGTGGCTAACACGAACGTGTTCGAGGTTCGCCCGAACACGCCTCCACAGGCGAACAGCGAACACCTGTTTTTGCCTAAACTGTTCGCCGAACCGAACAGTGTTCGGTTTGGCAAAAGAGGGTGTTCGACAAGGGGCGAACACGAACGTGTTCGTGTTCGCCCTTTGCTCATCCCTAGATATGCCTTGAAATGGCAGGTTGTGGTACCTACCAGCCAGGCATGCCCCACCACTGAGCCCCACACACTGAGAATGAGAGAAAGATTCTACAACAAACGGCTAGTCCTGACCTGACTCCTGCCTGTGTGCATAGCTGCAGACCTGCCGCCTTGACTAGCTTAGTGGCGAGCTGCAGCAGCTGAGAGGAGAGTGTGATGCCTGTGTAGCGACACTTTGTGGATCCCTAGGAGAGTGTGATGCCTGTGTAGCGACACTTTGTGGATCCCTAGGAGAGTGTGATGCCTGTGTAGCGACACTTTGTGAGACTGAAAGAGATCCACGTACTGAGACAGCCTACAATGACCCATGATCCTGCGCGCGTGCCTGCAGCCCTGCCCATGCACATACCTGCAGTCCTGCTGCTTTCACTCGCTCTGTGGCGAGCTGCAGCTGCTGCGAGGAGAGTGTGATGCCCGTGTAGCGACATGTGACTCGATCTGTCATTGCACATACCTGCAGTCCTGTCTCCCACCTTCAGTCCTGCCTGAGAGTAAGGCAGTGCATACCTGCAGACCTGCCGCCTTGACTCGCTCTGTGGCGAGCTGCAGCTGCTGCGAGGAGAGGGTGATGCCCGTGTAGCGACACCCCGTGAGACTGAAAGAGATCCACATACTGAGACAGCCTACAATGACCCATGATCCTGCGCGCGTGCCTGCAGCCCTGCCCATGCACATACCTGGAGTCCTGCTGCTTTCACTCGCTCTGTGGCGAGTTGCAGCTGCTGCGAGGAGAGGGTGATAACCGTGTAGCGATCTGTCATTGCACATACCTGCAGTCCTGCCTCCCACCTTCAGTCCTGCCTGAGAGTAAGGCAGTGCATACCTGCAGCCCTGCTGCTTTGACTCGCTCTGTGGCGAGCTGCAGCAGCTGAGAGGAGACTGTGATGCCCGTGTAGCGGCATGTGACTCGATCTGTCATTGCACATACCTGCAGTCCTGTCTCCCACCTTCAGTCCTGCCTGAGAGTAAGGCAGTGCATACCTGCAGACCTGCCGCCTTGACTCGCTCTGTGGCGAGCTGCAGCTGCTGCGAGGAGAGTGTGATGCCCGTGTAGCGACACCCCGTGAGGCTGACCGTCTCCAGAGCCAGGCTGCCCCACCCGAACCCGATCTCAAGCACGTGGTGCGACGAGTCTATGCGCGCCTGGGGATAAAGGAGAGGGGAGGAAAAGGGGGAGGGGATAGGGAAGGGATCGTAAACAATGTGAGCCAAGCTGCCCCACCCAAACCCGATCTCGAGCACGTGGTGCGACGAGTCTATGCGCGCCTGGGGGTAAAGGAGAGGGGACGGGGATAGAGAAAGGGACTGTTAAGCCAAGCTGCCCCACCCGAACCCGATCTCCAGCACGTGGTGGGAGGAGTCTATGCGCGCCTGGAGGGATCATGTGTGGCACAATGCAAGGGAGAAGGGAAGATTTGTAAACACGCGAGACAATACACACAGCACAGCCCAGATGCCCCACCCGAACCCAATCTCCAGCACGTGGTGGGTTGAGTCTAGGCGTGCCTGGGGTAATGTGATGGAGATGGTACAGTATGGTTAAGCACAGGGCAGCAGAGGCAAATACTTTAGCCACAATCAGGTACGTCAGCTTGCACGGCTGTGCGCCCACTAGAGCTGGCTCCTCGAAGATGGATGCGCGGTGGAGAAGAGCATGAATGTACTATGAATCACCCACACCACACCATGAGACAATGTTTGAGGCTCCTCAAAAACCGCGAGCCATGAGACGATTTTTTAGGTACCTCAAAAATCGACTCAAGGACGGATGCGCGGTGGAGAAGAGCATGAATGTACTATGAATCACCCACACCATCTCAACAGGCTGCAGGAGCAAGACATCACCCTCCTTGGCAATGAGACGTAAAAGTCAACTCCCTAAGCATCCACTAGAAACTCCTCTGGGATTCATTCTTTTGAGTCGACTTAAAAGTCAACTCCCTAAGCATCCACTAGAGGCTCCTCTGGGATTCATTCTTTTGAGTCGACTTAAAAGTCAACTCCCTAAGCATTCACTAGAGGCTCCTCTGGGATTCATTCTTCTGAGTCGACTTAAAAGTCAACTCCCTAAGCATCCACTAGAGGCTCCTCTGGGATTCATTCTTTTGAGCCGACTTAAAAGTCAACTCCCTAAGCATCCACTAGAGGCTCCTCTGGGATTCTTTCAGTTTACTATTTTTAAGGCGCCTAAAACAAAGATGGATTCATTCTAGTACCCAGCATGCGACGTTTGAGTCGACTCAAAAGTCACCTCATTTTAGTACCCAGCATGCGCCACAACACACACACACCACCACCACACCATCACTGCGGTGGCATCATGGTATGCTCCCAGTGAGCCTCTAACCCCACCCACCTTGGCAATGAGGCGCCTCAGCTTGCGCAGCTGTGCATCCACCAGAGGTTCCTCTGGTCGCTGAGCCATGCAGAGGGCGGGAGAGGAAAGAGGGCGGGTTAGAAATAGGGCAGGAGAGTGAGAAGAGAGCGTGGGAGACAAAAGAGGGAGGGTGGAAAAGAAAGAGTTTCTGGGAAGGCAGTTAAGAAGGATGGATACTAGTGGAGCTGGAACGTGAGCAAGGTATGGAACGAAGACAGACCTGGAAGATGGCGCATGAGTAGGTCATGGTTTCGTCTAGGAAGGTTTGGAAGAAGGAGGTTTGGGCGTGCTGCAAATGAGAGCACTGATTCACTGACATCCCCACTGCTCACCTGGAAGATGGCGCATGAGTAGGTCATGGTTTCGTGAAGGAAGGTTTGGAAGAAGGGGGTTTGGGCGTGCTGCAAATGAGAGCACACGGATTCACTGACATCCCCACTGCTCACCTCGAAGATGGCGCATGAGTAGGTCATGGTCTCGTCTAGGAAGGTCTGGAACATGCCGTTGCTCTGGAGGGATTTGGAGGGGGGTGTTAAGAGGAGGTGAGGGAGGGCGAGAATGAGTATGAGGAGGGTCACAGTGGTTACTGGGTCATGGTGGTTACCATGTCAAAGTGGGTTCCATGTCACAGTGGTTACTTGGTCATAGTGGTTACCAGGTCATGGCTGTTACCAGGTCATGGTGGTTAGCAGGCGATGGCAGTTTACCAGGTTGCAGTAGTTACCAGGTCGTAGTGGTTACCAGGTCGTAGTGGTTACCAGGTCGTCGTGGTTACCAGGTTGTCATGGTTACCAGGTCATAGTGGTTACCAGGTCATCGTGGTTACCAGGACGTAGTGGTTACCAGGTCGTAATGGTTACCAAATCGTAGTGGTTACTAGGTCGTAGTGGTTACCAGGTCGTAGTGGTTACCAGCTTGTGGTGGTTACCAGGTCATAGTGGTTACCAGGTCGTCGTGGTTACCAGGTCGTGGTGGTTACCAGGTCATAATGGTTACCGGGTCGTAGTGGTTACCAGGTCGTAATGGTTACCAGGTCGTAATGGTTACCAGGTCGTAATGGTTGGAGATGTTGCGGCGTGCGTTGGTGAGGTTGTTGAATCGCAGCAGGTGTCTCGCGTACAGAGCTGCCGATCCCACCACTGCTGTCAGCAGGGCAGGGCTCCACCAGCCCCTGACAGTTTGGGGAGGAGGAAGGAGTGGAAGTGAGTATGTGGGATAGGGAGTATGAACAGAGCCAGACCAGCCACTGCTGCCGGTAGTGCCAGCATCTCCTGGTGGTGCTAGAGGGGGAGCAGGAGGAAGAAGTGGAAAACAGCATGTGTGTGATTGTGAAGCCAAACCCGCCAGTGCTGTCAGCAATGCAACAGTGCATACACAATAGTGAGTTATCAAGCCGTGGTGTTTGGGGAAGAAAAGGCTGGGGATAGTGCTTCGATCTGGATAGAAGCACCAGACAATAACGGGAAGGAAAGAGGGCGAGTACGAAAACCACGGGGATACACTACTCATCCATGTGTACTGTGCCATCCCATTCATTTTGATTCACTTCTTCTTTGCGACATCTCAAATTATTTGAGACGTCTCAAAAATTCACCTTTATCCCACTACTCATCCATCTGTCCGCACTACCCCATTCATTCGGTTTGACTCACTTCTTCTTTGCGGGTCGCTGGCCGGGTTGGTTGTTGCGATCCCTGTTGGCAATCACGATCTGCGATTGGGCAAGGGGGGAGGGGAGAAACAATGCTGATTTTTTAGGCGCCTTTTGAGGCGCCTTAAGAAGGGTCACTGGCCGGGTTGGTTGTTGCGATCCCGATTGTTAATCACGATCTGCAATTGAATAAGGAGGGAGAGAGGAGCAATGGGGTCGGGGAAAGACAGGTGGCAGAACGTCCGGCGATCGTAAGGGAGACAAACACAGACGAATTGTATTGGTGATTAACAGCAAATTCTACAGTGCAAAGACGTCTCGAAACTCAACTCGTGTGCTTGTGATGAGCTTGATGGTGACTAATAGCTGTGAGGAGAAGGGATCCGTCACTTAGGCTGCAAGCCATTGCTTACCATTGCAGTCCGAAATTCAGTCAGCCAGCTAGCAGTCAGTCAGTCAGCCAGCAGCCAGCCAGACGGTCAGCTGGCCACCTCGATTCAACCTCACTCACCTCGAGGAACTTGAGGAGCCCTCTGAAGCCCTGAGGGAAAGAAGTGCCATGTCACCAGCCCTGAGGGAAAGAAGTGCCATGTCACCGTTCTCAAAGGTGGCTCAAGCCAGTCACTCAGTGAGACAGGAGGGGCTCACCTCGAGGAACTTGAGCAGCCCTCTGGAGCCCTGAGGGAAGGAAGTGCCGTGTCACCCCGTCCACAAAGGCATCGCTTTGAGAATTGCCGAATTCAGATGGTGCAATCATTCAGTGCGACAGGAGGGTCTCACCTCGAGAAACTTGAACAGCCCCCTGGAGCCCTGAGGGAAGGGAAAGAGATGCCTCCGTCCACAAAGGCATCATTCTTGAGAGTTCTCAAAGGTGGCTCAAGCCAGTCACTCAGTGAGGCAGACTCACCTCGAGGAACTTGAGGAGACCCCTGGAGCCCTGAGGGAAGGAGATGTCTCCATCCACAAAGGCATCGGCCAATCCCAGGTCTGCACGTGTCGCCACCTGCAGTTACCAGGGTGAGGGAACAGGTTGCAGGTAAACATGCCGGTACAGTACAGGTGAGAAGGCTGTGACTTTTGAGCCAGCTCAAAAAGGGAGGGAGGGTGCAAGGGAACAGTCGTTGGACAAAGACTCGCTAGAATCACGCACCTTCCAATAGAAGGCGGGCGAGTGCACGGTCATCTGACAGTCCAGCTTGGGTCCTTGTCTCCCAAACCGGTACACTGTGCCTCCTCGCTCCAACAGCCTGGGAAGACAGAGAGGGTGAAGAGGGGTGAATTGGGGTGAAGGAGGTTGAAGGAAGGTGAAAAAGGGGATTTGAAGAAAGCAACTGGATTGTTGCCCTACATGTATAGTCTGGATGGGCAATATGGTGGTTGAAGGGGAACAGGAACGGGAGCACTGTCACCTTGGGCACGTGGACATGTATGCACACATAAGGAACAAGGACAAGGATGCATACATGTAGGCACAAGGACATGGATGCATACATGTAGGCACAAGGACATGGATGCATACATGTAGGCACAAGGACATGGATGCATACATGTAGGCACAAGGACATGGATGCATACATGTAGGCACAAGGACATGGGTGCATACATGTAGGCACAAGGACATGGATGCATACATGTAGGCACAAGGACATGGATGCATACATGTAGGCACAAGGACATGGATGCATACATGTAGGCACAAGGACATGGATGCATACATGTAGGCACAAGGACATGGATGCATACATGTAGGCACAAGGACATGGATGCATACATGTAGGCACAAGGACATGGATGCATACATGTAGGCACAAGGACATGGATGCATACATGTAGGCACAAGGACATGGATGCATACATGTAGGCACAAGGACATGGATGCATACATGCAGGCACAAGGACATGGATGCATACATGTAGGCACAAGGACATGGATGCATACATGTAGGCACAAGGACATGGATGCATACATGTAGGCACAAGGACATGGATGCATATATTTAGGCACAAGGACATGGATGCATACATGTCCACATGCCCAAGGTGACAGCGCTCCCGTATGTACTCGACATGTATGCTATGCCTCCATGAGGAACACAACAAGGTGTTTGATTCAATCCAGTGAACACCTCCAGTGAACACCTCCAGTGAACACAACAAGGATATAGTTTGAAACGACGACCTCCAAGGCTGAAGAACTCACTGCACGGATCCGAGATGAATGAAGGGGCGCAGGAAGGAGAGAACTGCAGCCTTGGCGGCCTGAAAGTGCAGCGGGAGAAGCATCTGAGGAGTGTTGCGCTGCAGCTGCAGAGCTGGGCTGCTGCTGGCGCCCAGGAGAGCGTTGGCTGCAGTCAGACCCGCCTGGGAGGGATTGACGGGTGAGAGAGGGTAATAGAGACGGATGGGTAAACACATGGAAGGCTGGTAGTGCAGCGGGAGGAGCATCTGAGGCGTGATTTGCTGCAGCTGCAGAGCTGGGCTGCTGCTGGCGCCCAGGAGAGCGTTGGCTGCAGTCAGACCAGCCTGGGATTGACGGGTGAGGGGCAAAGAGGATGAGGGGTAAATGCATGGAAGGCTGATAGTGCAGTGGGTGTGGGAGGAGCATCTTGGGAGTGTTGCGCTGCAGCTGCAGGGCTGGGCTGCTGCTGGCGCCGAGAAGAGCGTTGGCTGCAGTTAAGCCAGCCTGGTAGGGAGATAAAAGGGAGGGTGGGACAGGTGTGCAGGGGCAGATGAAGGGAAAAAGGGTGCACATGCAAGGTGTGTTGTGGTGCTTGGTCAAGGTGTTGTGGTGTATGTGCAAGATACTATGCTGTATGTGCAATATGGTTTGGTGCATGTTCAAAATGCGATGGTGCATGTGCAAAGCAGCGCGGCACGATCTACATGAGGAATTGCACTGTGGCACTGTGCTACATGATGCATGATACATGATGCATGGTGCACGCAAGATACATGATGCATAATACATGATGCAGTGATACATGATGCATGGTGCACCATACATGATGCATGATACATGATGCATGATGCATGGTGCACGCACATACCTTGAACCCATCTTCATGGAAGCCATATCCTGCGAGATGAAACAAGGCAGAAAGATAGGGGGAGTGGGAAGGGAGAGAGGGGGGAGGTGGGAGAGAATGAGGCAGGGGCACTGAGTGGCACAAGAGTCCTGTAACAAAGGGTTGCACTGCTGTGTCACTTGTGAGAATACTTCAAAGTGGCTCAAAAGTCTTGATTTGACGATGGGGCGGTGGCATAAGCTTTGACCCAGACACTCCACGTACCTACATATGCCCCACAGAAGTAGATTCCCCTCCTTCCTAGCACAGTGGGGAGCAGTCTGGCAGCAGCCGTGGCAGCCGTGGTGGGGAGCGGGTGGGAGGGATCTTACGAGCTTTGACCAGGTCACTGCACGTACCCAGATATGCCCCACAAAAGTAGATCCCCCTCCTTCCTTGCACGGTGGGGAGCAGTCTGGCAGCAGCCGTGGCAGCAGTGGTGGGGAGCGGGTGGGAGGTGACCCACTGGTGATGCACTGTGCCTTTGATTCCAGACGGAGGGTTGAGGGTCACCAGAATCGGCTCTCCTGTGTCCCCAAGATTCTGCGTTGAAGATAAGGGATTGACAGGGTAAGGGTACAGGGATAGGGTAAGGGATAGTGAATGGAGGGTGGCAGCCGTGGTGGTGGGCGGGCGGGAGGTGGTCCACTGGTGGTGCACCGTGCCCTTCATTCCAGACGGTGGGTTCATAGTGACAAGGAGGAGTCGCCCGTGTCACCTAGATTCTGCAAGGCAGGAGTCGATGTTTAGTCGACTCAAAAACCGACTTATCACGCACTGGTGGTGCACCGTGCCCTTTATTCCAGACGGTGGGTTTATAGTGACAAGGAGGCGGTCGATCGTGTCACCTACATTCTGCAAGGCAGGAGTCACAGGGTGCAAGGGATAGGAAAGGGTTATGAGATAGGGTAAGGGATAGGGGAGGGAGAGAGGAAAGTAAGGGCAGCAGTGGTGGGGAGCGGGTAGGAGGTGACCCGCTAGTGGTGCCCCGTGCCCTTGATTCCACATGGTGGGTTGGAGAGTCACCACCAATATGGACTCTCTAGTTTCTGCACGAAGGGAGGCAGGGGGTACAAGGGATAAGGGCGATGGCGAGGTACCGTACTGCACAATGGTAAATCACCAAGTATGCTCTTTGAGTCACTCACAAGGGGGGGCGCAGGTGGGAGGTTGGACGTTCTACGTTCTGCCCTGCACACTTGTTGTGTAGCCCGTCTGCAAGCATTACTTACGCGCCAAGTGTGGAATTTTGGCGTAGAGCCTCCGTGACCCACGCCTGCATCGTGTTGAGTCATTAATATGGCACTGTAGCTCAAACTCTCAAACCACCCACCTGCAGCTCTTAAATCACACCCACCTGCAGCGTGTTGAGCCAGTACGTGACACAAACCCCTCCCTTCGCGTCCACTCCTCTGAAGTTCCACGCGCTCCAGGCGGCCCTTCTGGTGGGCATGAGGGACTTGTCACGATGCAGAAAGATGGTGCTGGGGGAATCGAATGGGAGGAGAGAAAGTGAGAGGAGAAGAGTAAAGCTCAACTTCCCTGAAATTCCACGAGCTCCAGGTGGCCCCTCTAATGGGCATGAGGGACTTGTCACGATGTAGGAAGATGGTGCTGCAGGAGGAGGGGAGTGGGAGTGGATGGAGGGGGGAAGGGTGGGCCATAATGCAATTAGAGGCATGGCCGCTCCATGCTGGTATCCCAGAGGCCATGTGGGACTTGTCTCAATGGAGAAAGGTGGTGCTGGTTGGAAAGGACAGGGGGGAGCGAGGGGAGGGCGAGTAGGGAGCAAAGGGTGACAGATTGGGCGGTTCTTCTAGCAGGCATGAGGGACTTGTCTCGATGCAAGACGATGTTGTGAGAGTGGAGGAAGGGTGGAGGAGGAGTTGGTGCAGGAGGGGTTTTAATGGAAGGAGTGGGAAAGGGTTAGGCATGAAGAGTTCACTTCACAGTGCAGTGCCACAGGAGTGACGTCACAAGTGTAGTGTACCTGGTGGTGTATTCAAAGGCGGAAAATACCCGTCGCTCCTCGTGAGTGGCTCCTTTCTCCAGCAGTGGCATGGCAGGACGGCATCCTCATGCAGCACCTTCTGAGACGCCTCAAGAGACGATGCCGCAGGAATGTTTTTAAAGTGCCCTTAGGACTTGAGTGTACCTGGTGGCGTATTTGAAGGCAGAAAATACCCTCCGCTCCTCATGCGTGGCTCCTTCCCCCAGCAGCGGCAGCACGGTATCGCCATGCACTGCCAGAACCACCCGGTCATAGCGCTCCGATGTTCCGTCCCCTAGACGCACTTCCACGCCTGCGGACAGAGACAGACGAGGAGGGAAGGAAGGGAAGAAGAGATGAGGCTTCGCCCAGCATCACCCAGCACCACCCGGTCGTAGCGCTCCGATGTTCCGTCCCCTAGACGCACGTCCACGCCTGGGAAGGGGAGAAGGAGCGGGCAGGGGTATATTCAGAGGATGTGTCCCCTTCAGCAGCGGCAGCACGGTGTCGCCATGCACTGCCAGCACCACCCGGTCGTAGCGCTCCGATGTTCCGTCCCCTAGACGCACGTCCACGCCTGGGAAGGGGAGAAGGAGCGGGCAGGGGTATATTCAGAGGATGTGTCTCCTTTAGCAGCGGCAGCACGGTGTCGCCGTGCACTGCCAGCACCACCCGGTCGTAGCGCTCCTATGTTCCGTCCCCTAGACGCACTTCTACACCTGCGGACAGAGACAGACGAGGAGGGAAGGAAGGGAAGGGGAGATGGGGCTTCGCAACGAGCATCGCCATGCTCTCCCATCCATCCAGCACCACCCTGCCATCCATCCAGCACCACCCGGTCGTAGCGCTCTGCTCTGCTCTGTGCTGTCCCCTAGACGCACGTCCACGCCTGCGGACAGAGACAGACGAGGAGGGAAGGGAAGGGAGGAGAGGGCTTAAAAAAAGAGCATCCCAATGCATTGCCAACACCTTTCGGTCATACCGCTCTGCTGTGCCAACCACTAATTGTACGTGACACGGGCTCGTCTACCCCTGGGAACCACAGACATGAGATAGCCACGTGATTGAAGAAGGGTTTTGAGACGTCTCAAAACCCTTCTTCAATCACGGGGACATGAGATACAGGAGTAGAAAGATGGTGTTTACGGCCTACAATCTGCAACCGAATGTTAAAAATTCTCGCATGGCTTGTTTAAAGCATTGCCGTGCCACGTTGCATTCATCGCCTCTCCACATCACAATGTAACGGTTACATGGAGCATTGCATCCTGCAACTCCCAGCATCACACCGCCCGATTCCCAGATACACAAACCTCCCTCCCAGCGTTACGTTTTTTGAGAATTCTCAAAAAACATATGCTGCTCGATATACACAAACCTCCCTCCCAGCGTTACGTCTCTCACTCACCTTCCTCGCCCAGGCTCTGCACCCCAGTCACTTCCGTGCCGGTGCGGAAGGCACCCCCTCTGGCTTCCACGGCAGCCATCACCTGTGGGGAACAGCGGGAGACGAACATTCTGGGGGTGTTGGGAACACTCGAACACCCCGTTTCTGGAGTGTGTTTGGGACGAACCAAGAATGTTCGGTCTGACCCAGTAAGGTGCGCCCTTGACAAGTGTTCAAACCAAACATGTTTGCGGTTGGGTGCCTAGTTCTGGTGTAGCGTGCGTGTGTGCGCTGTGCAATCACGCACATCAGGGATCTGCCATGGTAGCCTGCGAAGCAGCTGGGATGACTCTTGAGTCTACTCAAATGTTTGAGGCGCCTCAAAAGGATGACTCTTAAGTCTACTCAAAAGTCGTATTGAGCCGACGGAAAAATCAGTGAAGCTCTGGCTTCAATTATTATTGGTCTACTACTTTGGTCTATGTGTGTGAATTACCTTCTTCACGTAGGTCTGAGATCTGCCTGAGACTGTCAGCCATTGTGGCCTGCCAAGCAGCTGGGATGGGGAGAGAACAAAAAAAAAATACAGGGTTTAGGGTTGAACAGAAGGGTCAGCATGGGGCACGACAACAATAGGTGGTAAGCACAGGCTGTTCAGCGGATTTCAGAATGGTTAAGTACGGTGATGATGCTAAGGGAGGGACAGGAGCGTAATTGCAAGAAGCGTTCAGGACAGGCTTATTAGAGAAAGCTGCAATGTACATGCAGAACGCGGTGGTGCTTATAACGAACCTGCAGCATGTGGTGGCTGCTCTTATAACGAACCTGCAGCATGTGGTGGCTGCTCTTATAACGAACCTGCAGCATGTGGTGGCTGCTCTTATAACGAACCTGCAGCATGTGGTGGCTGCTCTTATAAAGAACCTGCAGCATATGGTGGCTGCTCTTATAACGAACCTGCAGCATGTGGTGGCTGCTCTTATAACGAACCTGCAGCATGTGGTGGCTGCTCTTATAACGAACCTGCAGCATGTGGTGGCTGCTCTTATAACGAACCTGCAGCATGTGGTGGCTGCTCTTATAACGAACCTGCAGCATGTGGTGGCTGCTCTTATAACGAACCTGCAGCATATGGTGGCTGCTCTTATAACGAACCTGCAGCATGTGGTGGCTGCTCTTATAACGAACCTGCAGCATGTGGTGGCTGCTCTTATAACGAACCTGCAGCATGTGGTGGCTGCTCTTATAACGAACCTGCAGCATGTGGTGGCTGCTCTTATAAAGAACCTGCAGCATATGGTGGCTGCTCTTATAACGAACCTGCAGCATGTGGTGGCTGCTCTTATAACGAACCTGCAGCATGTGGTGGCTGCTCTTATAACGAACCTGCAGCATGTGGTGGCTGCTCTTATAACGAACCTGCAGCATGTGGTGGCTGCTCTTATAACGAACCTGCAGCATGTGGTGGCTGCTCTTATAACGAACCTGCAGCATATGGTGGCTGCTCTTATAACGAACCTGCAGCATGTGGTGGCTGCTCTTATAACGAACCTGCAGCATGTGGTGGCTGCTCTTATAACGAACCTGCAGCATGTGGTGGCTGCTCTTATAACGAACCTGCAGCATGTGGTGGCTGCTCTTATAACGAACCTGCAGCATGTGGTGGCTGCTCTTATAACGAACCTGCAGCATGTGGTGGCTGCTCTTATAACGAACCTGCAGCATGTGGTGGTTCTTGAGGAAGGAAAGCACGGAGAAGGCGTTGAAGCTCCTCGCGCCATCTATCCCAGTCGACCATATAGAGGCGCACACTGGGAGCTGAGAATAGGGAACAGGAAGAGAAAGGAGGGAAGGAGAAGCGGAGAGGGACGGGGTGTGCCACGTGTGAAAACGAAACCGAACGGGCATTGAAGCTCCTGGAGCCGTCTATCCAGGTAGACCATATAGAGGCGCACACAGGGAGCTGTGACAAAGGGTAAAAAATAGGTGAAGAGGTGGAGAAACGGGCATAGAAATCTTGTGAGTATGTGGAACCGGAGAGGGGGAGACAGAGAGGAACAGAGTAGGCATAGAAACTCCGGGTGCCTCCATCCCAGTTGATCATATAGAGGCGCACACTGGGAGCTGAGAATAGGAAACGGAGGCCAATGGGGAGAGCAAGAAGCGGCGAGAGGAGACTGGTCAATAGAGAGGAAACAGAATGGGCATGAAGCTCGTGGCTCCATCCACCCTGGTTGATCTTGACTGTATGGGGGCGCACACAGGGAGCTGAGACGCAGGGAAAAGTATAGGTGAGGGGAAGGGGAAGAAAATGTGGGGTTAGTATGTGGTTGGAGACTGGGAGACAGAGAGTGCCATCCACCCCGTTTGGCCAGATAGAGGCGCACACAGGGAGCTGAGAAGAAGGAAATGGAAGAGAAAAGGGGGGAGGCCGAAATTCAATTCTTCCAGCCAAAGGCTTGATCCAGCATTGGCCTACCCTGATGGGCAGAACCAAGGGTGTGATGAGTCGATTTTTGAGTCCGCGTGTGATGAGTCGACTCATCACACATTGGCCTACCCTGATGGGCAGAACCAAGGGGATTGGAAAGATTGACCAGGTAGCAGTCGCAGAACATGGAGGAATACCCATTACACTAGGCTTCCATCACTCACATAACCTTCATTCACCAGGAACAACTGTCACACTGACCAGGTAGCAGTCGCAGAACATGGAGGAGTACCCGCGTTCCTTCAGGAACTGCCCCAACGTCTCTGTGAGCAGGGCGCTGCTGCCTGCTGGTGTTGCTGGTGTTGCTGGTGATGACGATCCGGCCCCGTTGCTGCTACTGCTGCCGTTGAGCGCAACTGACTGCCTCTGCAGCACTCCAGAGGCTTCGACCTTGGCGAGGTAGCTGCGGGACGGGGGAAAGAAAGGGATTGACAAACAGGAGCACAATTCAGGATCAGAAGAGTCGCCTAGGCGACTGTGGAATTGTCTCATCATGTGTCGTTGAGAGCAGCTGATTGCCTCTGCAGCACTCCAGAGGCTTGCACCTTGGGGGGAGCTTACTAGTGCAGTGAAGCCTAAGCATGGTGCGCTACAGCCTACAGGACGCCAGCAAATGTTACCAACTCTTTCAACAAAGCATGGAGCAATCACAGTGGAAGAATATCATCCACCACATCACAGCATGAGCCAGCTGCCATTATCATGGCCAGAAGACAATTCCTCGTGCATAACATAATAACACTGCAAGGCACCTGCTTGGCAGCACAGGATCCTCACTTGAGCACATCCTCGAGGAAAACAGTCGTCTCTCGCAGCATGAGCCAGAAAGAAGGCGGGAAGGCTTTTCTTGGCGCACAAACACATTTAGGCACCTCACCTGCGTAGCCTGTATCCAGCGTGCGGTGCAGTGCGGTGCAGTGCAGTGCACTATGAGCAGCAGAGGGACTTACTTGAGCACATCTTGGTGGAAAACCGTCATTTCTCGCAGCATGAGCCAGAAGAAGGCCGGAAGGCGTTGCGGCATGATATGAATGCAAGGCACCTGTGGATGGAACCTATGCAACTTGCCACTCACTTGAGTACGTCCTGGTGGAAAACCGTCATCTCGCGGAGCATGAGCCAGAAGGAGGGCCGGAAGGCGTTGCGGCGCGAAGCAAAGAGGCCCGAGAGGCCGTTGCTTCCCCACTCGCAGCGCGGCACCGACACGGAGAAGGACATGTCGGAGGGTTCTATTGCCACCTCTAGTTCCTCGAAGAAGGAGAGCATGTTGGGGTAGGTCACCTGGAGTTGAGAAGGGGTGAAAAAAGGGGGTCAAGAGAGGGTACGGACACCAAAAAGGACATGTCGGAGGCCTCGATCGCCACCCCTAGTTCCTCGAAGAAGGAGAGCATGTTGGGGTAGGTCACCTGGTGTTGAAAAGGGGTGAAAAAAGGGGGTCAAGAGAGGGTACGGACACCGAAAAGGACATGTCGGAGGGTTTTATTGCCACCTCTAGTTCCTCGAAGAAGGAGAACATGTTGGGGTAGGTCACCTGGAGTTGAAAAGGGGTGAAAAAAGGGGTCAAGAGAGGGTACGGACACCAAAAAGGACATGTCGGAGGGCTCGATTGCCACCTCTAGTTCCTCGAAGGAGAGCATGTTGGGGTAGGTCACCTGGTGTAGAAAGGTGAGGACAGATGGGGGATTGAGAGAGGGCACCGACACATAGAAGGACATGCCAGAGGGCTCGATTGCCACCTCTAGTTCCTCGAAGGAGAGCGTGTTGGGGTAGGTCACCTGGTGTAGAAAGGTGAGGACAGATGGGGGATTGAGAGAGGGCACCGACACATAGAAGGACATGCCAGAGGGCTCGATTGCCACCTCTAGTTCCTCGAAGAAGGAGAGCATGTTGGGGTAGGTCACCTGGAGTTGAAAAGGGGTGAAAAAAGGGGGTCAAGAGAGGGTACGGACACCGAAAAGGACATGTCAGAGGATTCCATTGCCACCTCTAGGTCCTCAAAGAGCATGTTGGGGTAGGTCACCTGGTAGAACGAGTGGGCGAGTTGGAGGGAAGAGGGAGGTCGGGAGGGGAGAGACACCGAGAAGGACATGTCGAAGGGTCCTATTGCGCTCTCCAGCTCCTCAAAGGAGAGCATGTTGGGGTAGGTCACCTGATAGAGTGGGAGGAGGGGGGAACGGGAAAAAGGGGGGTTGGAGGGGACACAGACACTGAAAGGACATGAAGGAGAGCATGTTGAGGTAGGTCACCTGGTGTTTGGGTGTGGGGGAAGGGAGGAAGCATGGGAGGAGAGGGGGGATGGAGAGGACGCGTGAGAGGACTCCATCGCCACTAGCTCCTCTAAGAAGGCGAAATGTGTGGGGAACGATAGTCACTGGGCGACTCGACTTCTCATGGGCGACTCGACTTCTCATGGGCGACTCGACTTCTCATGGGCGACTCGACTGCTCATGGGTGACTCGACTTCTCATGGGCGACTCGACTTCTCATGGGTGACTCGACTTCTCATGAGTGACTCGACTTCTCATGCCAAATGCATGTAGTCGGCATAGTCCAAAAGTAGAAAGCGAGAAACCCAGTCCCAATGTGCAACCACCAACGGCTTGGCAGAACGACATTTACAAAAGCAATGCCGTCTCGACATGCATCATCCGCCAGCTGCTTTCAGACGATCGAGCGGGTTCAGTCAAAATGAGTGTCGTCTCAGCAATGAGAATGTGGCTAAGGGAGGCTATTCGTATGATATGATAAAGGCCAATCACTTTGACGAGGCCACTCGTATCTGTTGAGATCTCTTAGTTTCTGACCACGCCACTGCTATCCGATGACGCTATCCCGCTCTGAACCGGCGCATTTCAGCGCGTCGATGCACGACATGTGACTGAGAAGAGCCACATTGCTCTCAAGGGCTGGCATTCCACCATGATTGTATCCAAGTTCATCAGGCAACTTCCAAGGGATCGGATCACGCCTCTCACAGAATGACGTCTCCTCAAAATATCAGATCACGTCACTAAAGCACCCCAATTTTCAAGATCAAGTCACGTCACAAGATCGGGCCTCGTCACAAGATCACGTCACGTCACAAGATCACGCCTCGACCAATTTCAAGCCTCGTTACAAGATCACGCCACGTCACGGACGCACCGAGTTGAAGACCATGAATCCGAGGTCCACATCAACGCCATCGTCCGTGCTATACGTGAACGCATGGCCGCCAATGTGCGAGTCTTTCTCCAACACCGTCACCTGTACCCCCTGTTTGCTCAGTCGCCATGCCGCTGCGAGTCCGGCGACGCCTGACCCAACCACAGCCACTTTCATCGTGCCCAGCCGCTTCTACGCCCGGTGATCAGAAAGCTGTGTGTTTTTATCGAGGAAAGGGTCTCGTTTTCATGGAATGGCGACGGAACAACCAGTTGAAACTCAGCTCAAAGAGCCAGAAAGGAGAACACCTGGGGCTTGTCGAAAATGATTGTGGGAGCAAAAGGTGCAGTCTCGAGGAGCAAGCAGCTGTTGTGATGATATCGAAGAAAGATTGGCGCAGCCTGCATGCGAACCTATGGCTGGTAACGAGCGAATACGAGAAGTAGTCGTCACGACTCGTAAAGCTGTAAGCGAATGTCGCGAATCGATAATGGCGGAGGCTGATCCACGTGGAAAAGCACCACAGAGCAGTATGACGTCATCAACCGAGATTCTCGGGACCAAGGAGCATGCCAACATCAAGGGCCCAAAAACACCTAGACAGGTGAATGAAGTGTACACTTTTGTTTGCAAAACGTACCTGATTGCTAAAATACAGCACATTAGGTATGGTGGACGCCACAAAGATCCTTGGATTAGGGATTCACAATATTCATCCCTAGTCTAAACAACGCTTTACCCTAAATGAAAGTGCTGATCTGACTGGCTAACACTCCAGTTGCTGATCCAAAAAAGAACCGTGTCATAAATCAAGCCCATCCTATCCAGCTTACAAGAATGAGCATCTATGGTACCACCAAAAGACAGAACCTCAACACCTAGAAACCAAACAGACCAAGCTCAGTGGCCCTCTCCTTATCAAACATCTCGAAGTACTGATAGATGATGGTAACGGCAAGGAGAATTCCAGTGCCGGAGCCAATGGCACCCATGAAGTCAGCAACAACGGTCAGCGCACCGATGCACATCCCACCAAATGCAGCAGCTGTGGGAATGTAGCGGTTAAGCTCCTTCTGCAGGTTGGATTCGCGATGACCAGGCATAACCATTTGTTGCTCCTGGATACAAATGGGAAGGCAGGGGGATAGATATGGGGTAAAAGCGGGGGACGAGGAGGGGGGCGTTGGGGAGAGAAAGGGTGGAAGAGGAAATTAGGAGGGGGGGGGGGGGGGGGGGGGGGGGGGGGTTGGGGGGGAAGTGGGGGAGAGAAAAGAGTGGGGGGAAAAGGGGGAAAGTGGGAAAGAGTGGAAATCATGGACATGTACGTGGGAACTGAGTGTACCAGCTGGACATAAAAAAATAGAAGCAGCTGTTATCTCCCAATGCAGTGGTCAAGACCTTGTGATGTCAAGGTTGAGGACAACCTCGTGGAAGCAAGAGGATCACTACGCAACAGATGGCATGCTCACTGCGAACTTCATAAATTAGACCTTAAGTCAGCTGGAGAACCCCAGAACAAGTAAACTGTAAATTCATGGCTGTTATTTCCATGAACTTTTGGGTTTCAAAACTAAGGCAGACGACTCTGGTTGTCTAGCCCGTTGCTATCACATGACTTCACATTTCACCCGCGAAAAGTGGTGCCTTTATTGTTATACCTCAAGCTGCCTGGCGCACTCTTCACAAGCCAACCCAAACATATACTATAAACCTAAATAACCCAATCCTCACCTTGAGTTGCTTCGCCACGTCGCGTGCAGACGATCCGGAGACCTCAATCCACGTCTTGGAGAAGAGTGCGCAGGCGGAGAGCATGAAGGTAACGTAGAAGAGAGCGTGGAACGGATGCACCGCAATGTCCGCCAAGCTGCTCAGAAGGGAAATAATCAAGACTTTGGTTGGATTCACGAAACAACGACTCGAAATCAATTGCCGTATCCCACCACCATGAGAGTCATGTGACAACGACTCGAAATTTCCGCAGGCGTTTTATGCACCAACTTGAACAAATGCAATGCGAAAAACTGTTGAGAAAGTGGAGAAAGTAGCGTCAGTCATGTCAACAGCAATGGAAACGGACACTAACCTCGCGGGAGGGGTCATGTAATAGACAAGTCCGCCGACAGGAATGAGCTGGCCTGAACTTGAGTATTCCGACTCAGCCCACACACCAAGAAGGCGCACAAGGATGAAACCGCCATACCTCCGATAAAGCAGCTGTATACAGGCACAGACATCAATAACACAATCACGCAAATAAGTAAGGCTACGGAAACAACCACCGGAGCAAAACCCTCCGACCAGCAAGAAACGTAGAAAACGAAATCTATCAGGATTGTTATGCGATTTCCCAGTGCTGAACCCTAGACACACCTGCGAGATGAAATACAGGTTGGAGACGAGAGCCGACTGCAGAATAATAGGCATGTTCGAGGTGTAGAAGAGCTTGATGGGGTAAGAGCCCTGCTGTCCCCTGGCGCTCTTAGAGCGAACAGGGAGCACAACGCGGAAACCCTGGAAGTAAATCACGATGAGGAAGACAAGCACGGTGGCTAGGAGGTTGGTGACATTCGGCAGGTTCTGTCGGTAAAAGGCTTCCTTGAGCGCGCGGACTTTGTCGGTCCGGGTGATGAGCAGGTGGAAGAGAGCGATCACGGCTCCCTCAAACTCCGCGCCACGGCCAGCGTTGATGGTCGTAGGGCTAAATGCCTTCCAGATGATGCTTTCACTGCAATACATACCAAGTAAATGAAATTTGATAACATCAACAAGAAGTGATTTGGAGGTGTAATTCGTTTTAGGACATTGGGAATTTCGGTGAGGCAGATCTGGATGTCCGAACAGACGGAGTTCCCTTGAAAGTCGACAATGTGAGTAACATGCCAGCTGGACAAAAAAAGGTGTCAACTTACCAGATGTTCGTCGCGATGAAGAGGGAAATTCCAGATCCAAGGCCGTAACCCTTCTGCAGGAGCTCGTCAAGGCAGATGATGATGATGCCGGCGAAGAAGAGCTGCACGATGATGAGAATCGCATTCGTCGCACCCAGATCGCGCACATCGCCGTACATCCCCGAGACGACATATGCGACAGCTTCTCCGACCGTGATGAGGACTCCCAGGAGCTTCTGAGCACCATTGCTGAAAAATAAAAATAGCAATCGGAACAATTTCACCTTTTTAGGTTACAGCTGATCCGGATACACGCCGCGGAACAATCAATAATGGCATATCGGATCTGAGTAGGACTATGCAGATAAAAGACAAAGACCTTATCTAACCCTAACGGCCTCGCACTATTATTTGCTCCAATGTCAGGAAACCATTCCGCGACTTACATCAGTTCTCTATCTTCCTTAATGTTGTTATCCACCTCGATCAGCTTCGACCCTACAAGAAGCTGAATCACCATGCTGGATGTGACAATGGGAGTAATTCCCAACTCCATGACAGTACCCCGGTTGGAAGCCAGAATAACACGCATCCAGTAGAACGGATCTGATCCTGTGGCTGTGTGGATGCCATAGAGTGGAAGCTGACTGCAGACCAAGAAGATGAAGAGCGAAACGGCGGTGTAGAGAAACTTTTCCCTAAACGGCACTTTCCGATCTGCGGTCTGCACCTCCGGCAAAAGGTTCAGAAACGGCCGGACGAGATGCAAAACTCTAAAGCCGCCACCCATGGCTCCTAGTCACAAGCACCTAACACCGAAGATTTCAAATCCCGGAATGGAGACCTTCGAATGAGATAAGCAGAATGAGTGGAAAACAGATCAACTAGTTCAGGAGCTGACGGGATCCAGATTTGAGGAACGCGTTCAGGTGGGATGAGAAATCTAGGCTGGGTTGGAGGGAAGAAAATGACCGACCCGATGCAGTCTGCAGCAGGTGGTTGGTTTGGAACAGCGTCCGTGGCAGGCACTGGAAGTGGGGATGGAAGGAATTGGGTTGCTGCTGGCGGTTGGGAAGCGCAAACGACAGTTGCGAAGCATTGTTACCGTGTGCTAGAGAAATATTTTTGTAGCAGACCAATATGAAATAATATTGGGTATTCTAGTTCCGCATGAAGAGCTTGTAGGTAAAGTATATCTGATGAACATCAGACAATTTTCTCGAGTCTAAAAAAACAGAACACAAAATAAACAGGTGTTACGAATAGCAACGAATGAAGATTATAATACACTCCCAACCGCAGCTAAAGAAGCATGCAGTATCGAGAACGAATGTGAAGAGTCAGAGTTGACTCGAAACGAGAGACGGTTGAGATGCATCCGGACCGTCGGAGCAGACTACATCGGGCAGCTGCACGCAGGAGGATCTTGGCGGGAACAGTTTCGCAACTGTACGCGCCGGACGGTTGAGAATAAATTTGAATAAGGGAATGAACTGTTAGAGTTATATTGATATAACTGCATGTAGTTGTAGCTGTAGTGTAGTATTACATTCACCGTATTCTCCCGGACATAACACCCGGGGGTATTATGATAACCACAGGGAAAAAAGGGGGGGGGTCCTCTCAACGGAAAATCCTATATGATACCTGGGTGGTTATATATGGTATATTTTAATGCAAGAGGATTCTCAAATTAGACAGTTTGGGCCTTTCAATGGTCGTTTTAACATCACAGTTTGAGGCGAGAATGTGAGTTTTGGCAAGAATGTGAGTTTCACCTTTCGGGCCACTTGCAGCGGAAGATTCGCCAGCGTGGCAACTTCCTAGAATGTGGGATGGGGGAAATGTCCACTTGCAGCGAAAGATTCGCCAGGGTGGCGACAGTGAGATTGTGGGAGGGGGAAATGTTGGCGGATTCTAAGTGCAAGTACGCGCGAAATTTCATTTAGGAATCAATTCTCGCGATATTCCCCTGTAAGGAATCAGACTCGATAACAACTATAATAGGAATCCGTAAGAAAAGGGGGGTGTTATAGAAAATCATCCAAAAAGGGGGGTATAGTAGAAACGAGGTCGCCCATAGCACCCACCCCGCACAAGCTACCCGGGGGTGTACTATCATGGGGGGGTGTTTTGTCCGGGAGATTACGGTAGCTGTTGGTGGTATACATCGCTTCTCTCCTATTTGTACCCTTTGCGCAATAGTGAAAACCCACTTCCTTTCTCGACATCCTCCTCTCTCGTCACCTTCCTAGGTTCCTAACCTAGTCTACTTTCTGACATATACCCCTTAGAGTACATGGCTAGCTATGACGATTCAGATTCCCCTGTACTCATACTTATATCGTTGTATTTGCATGTTTTAATCATCTCATGCATTTTACATTCACTCTGCTATTGAAGTCACGGGCCCACCACCACTAGACCAAAGTGTGCGAACCTTCCTGAGGTGATCCTGGCAATGATAATTGTTTGATCGCAACATGGTATGAGAGCGACTCGGGAATCATTCGCACTGCCACTCTCGAAAATTGCGATATTCGGAAAGTGGCGTCCGGCACACAATCGCGTGTAAGAATGGCCGGAGGATCTGGAGGTCAGACGAATCTGACGGCTGAAGCGCAGCCCAACCTGACTTCGATAGGCAAGGAAACGACGACGATCCCTTCCGCCGTCCTCAAACAACTGCTTCAGCGACTCACGAGCTTGGAGCAAGGTCTCCAAACATTGCAGAATGGCGACGCGGGAACTTCATGTCGAGACTTACGCAAGGGATGATTAAACTATCGAGAAGTTTGGTACAAAAGTAAAACCTATGGGGTTGTACCCCACAGTGAGTACCCCACTAAAGCCTACCTAAACTATAACATATAAACATATGTTTGACACAACCCCATAGGCAAAGTAGGGGAGAACAGAGGGTCACAAGGCCAGGCAGGAAGTGCAAAGCAAGCGTAGGGTGGATCACAACGTTACCACACAGTCTGAGCACAAGCAAAAGGCCACAAGGCCCGTTCACATGCAGAGATATATATGTAAAAACAACAGCACAGTGATCTCTATCTACAAGAGCAAGCACGTAGGTATACATATAGATCAAAGTACAAACAAAGCCTACAGCAAATGAGGAAGCGTGGGCGTAAGGCCTAACAAAGTGCAGAAACGCTGATGATCACCAGGCGGAAGCGCCTTGGTGAATACATCAACAGTGTTGGCCCGAGTGGCCACGTAAGCAAGACGAAGCTGGCCACGCTGCTGCAGCTCTCCAGCAAGAAAGTAACGCGGAGTGATGTGCTTCGTTCTGTGCTCCAGTCTGTGCTCCTGACACAAGGCAATGGCGGTCTTGTTGTCGACGTATAGAACTGGAGGAGAACGAGGCCGCTCTCCCAAGTCGGTCAGCAGGTAGGTGAGCCAGCGTAGCTCCTGTGCAGCCATGGCTGTGGCGTAGATCTCGGCCTCACAGCTGGAGCCGAGAACTGAAGACGAACGTGTATAACGCCAAGAAACTCAACCAGAACCAAGGCTGAAGGTGTAACCCTGAGACGACCGCTGCGTAGCCTGGTCGTCAACCCAAGAGGCGTCCGAGTGACTAGTGAGGACAACGTCACCCCGTCCTCCAAGCACGAGCCCCATGCCCGATGTACTGCACAAGTAGCGTAGTACCCTCTTAGCAGCATCCATGTGTACCTTTTGGTGCCAACCAGGAGCCACGTAGCGAGCCAGAAGACCAAGAGGGTACACAAGGTCAGGACGAGTGTAGGTCATCAGGTACATGAGGCAACCCACTAGCTCTGGGTAAGGACCACTCGGCTCTACTGACTCGTCCGAAGGTGGAGCTAACAGCGAGTGACCTGTAGCCAGAGGAGTGGCCTGTACTGAGGACCAGGTGAAGCCGAAGCGCTGAAGGACCTGCTGCACCATGTGTAACTGAGTCAGTGTGATGGTGCGGCGTGCTCTGTCCCGGGTGATATGCAAGCCAAGATAGCTGCGCAGCTCACCCAGGTCTGTGCACGTGTGTCTCTTTTGCGGCTCTGACTTCACCAGGGCAAGAGCCTCTGTATCAGGAGTGGCAAAGACCAAGTCGTCGACGTACACGAGGATATAGAATGGTGGCAGCGAAGTGTCGGTGCGCAGAAACAGCGACGGGTCAGCAGTCAACGGAGCAAACCGAAGAGCCGCAAGTGTCGTCCTTAGTGTGTCGTGCCACTCACGTGGCGCCTGGTGGAGACCGTAGACCGGTCGGCGGAGGCTCCACTGGGTACCAGGAGGGAACGACCCAGTGAAGCCAGGAGGGCAGCGCAGCCAGATCTCCTCATGCAGGCTGCCCTGTAAGAACGCTGTGCTGAAGTCAAGAGAGCGAAACTCGTAGTCACGCTGAGTGGCAACGTGCAGCAGCACCCAAAGAGTGGTCATCTTCTGGGTGGGGGAGAAGGTCTGGAAGAAGTCAACTCCCTGCCGCTGACTCAAGCCTCGAGCCACGTAACGAGCCTTGAAGACAGGCGGAGAACCTGGCGGCCGCTTCACCCTAAAAATCCACATGCCACTGACAATGTTCGCCCCAAGAGAGGGAACCTCGTCGACGTACGTGCCTGTGGACTTCCAGGATGCCATCTCTGCGTCCATGGCTGTCCGCCTCTGAGAGGAGTACTCACCCGCGATCTCCTCAGCGTAAGAGCGCGGGGTCGGGATGTCTGGACCATCCGGATCTCCCTCAGGGGCAAGCAGCATGGCCACGAGATGAGGCGCAGCGGCTGCAAGACACTCAAGGTCCTCCTGCCTGTCCTCAAGGACGTCCATGCCAAGAGCATACTCACCCCCGACGGACGAAGGATTGACGGACTCAGACTCAGCCATAAGACCGGCGACGTAGTCGAGACGACATGCAGCAGCAAAGTCAACAAGCTCAGCGACTAAGGCAGACGTAGCAGCAGACTCAAACGACGGGTCAGGGACAACTGTGGCAAGTAGACGCGTGATAGTAGGGTGCTCAGCACGAAATTGGTTAGACGCAGGTTCAGCACCGACAGGCAGAGAGGACTCAGGGGGAGACGGCAGAGGAACACGCGGCGGAGGAGAGGAAGGACGAAGAACTTCAAGGTGAGGGCCGGAGACAGTCGGCTAACGCTGACGAGGAACACGACGACCGGAACGACCAGAACGGACAGGTGAGACAGTACGC